TTTGTAAAGGTAGCCCATTGGTGGTCTTTGCTCTCCATCCACCAAACGAAGCACTTTAACTAATGGACCACCAATCTTCAATGAACCACATTATTCCAGAGTGCAGTAGAAAGCATAATATCTACAAATTCTCTCCCTCGAGCTTCTCTTCCATAGGCATTGTTAGTGTACTCATCTGAAACAAATAACTTCTTCAAATTGCTTTTTTGCTCATACATCCTATGCAAAGTCAAGAAAGCGGTAACAAATCTTGTCTTTGCAGGTTCCATCAAGCTTCTTTATTTAGTGAATCTCTTCATCATATTCAATAACAAATGCCTTTGAACAATATCAGAATGCACTCTAATTGCTTGATTAAAGATTGCACCGAAGGGTCTTTCCTTGAAAATGTCACCGAAGATCAAATTAATGCAATGTGTACACGGAATCCAATAAATATGCGGGTACGCTACAAACATCAAATCACCAGCTTTAACATCTTTAGTAGCGTTGTCCATGACAACTTGAACAATATTTTCTGCTCCAATAGAGTCTATTGTACTCTTGAACAAGGAGTACATTTTGGTTGAATTAGTAGAAGAGTTGTTTGCATCAACTGACTCAAGAAACAAGCTTCCCTGAGGAGAATTCACCAAGATATTGATGATCATTTTTCCATTTCTTGCCGTCCACTTATCCATCATATGGAACAACCAAACTTGTTTCATTCTACTTTGTGCTCCTCCACGATTTTGCTAGTCTCTTCCACCTCTTTTTTTAGATATGGACCTCTAACTTCATGATAAGTTGGAGGCTTCATTCCTGGACCATATTGCCTATGGCCTCAATAAAAGCAGAAAAAGTGTCAGTATAATTAACACAATTTAAAGGAAGACCTGTGCATCATACATCCACACCGCAAACATTGCAACTGCATGATCCCTCAAAATCACTTTGGCATCAATTTGACTATTACCACTTTTTTCTCCCATATCTCCTGGTTTCTGTGGGAAATAACAATCCATAGGACCTTTAGTCTTACCAGTAGATCCACAACTTGAAGACATTGTTTGTATCCTTCCCCGCTTTTGTGATTTTAATGGAAGCGACGAACCATAGTCACCTTCTTCTATATCATCATCGTCATCATCAATATTATGCAGCTGTTCTTGTTTTTGATGCATTTGAGTCTTTAACTCTTTTTTTTTTAAGGTATGCTTTCATTTCTTCCTCACATGCGGTGGATCTTTAGGACAAGATGCGACGTTTGGATCACCACCGATTAGATGAAATTTTTGACGATAGATTCCCCATTCGAAATCTTGTCACAATAAAGACATCTAATTGCCATCTTATTGGTCTCGCTAACTCTTACAGAATAAGCCCAAGCCGGGTCTTTCCTATCTTCTTTTGGTGCCATTAAAAGAACAATTGAATAACACATACAAATGGCAATAAGAACTAAGAATAAATAAAATGAAAAAAAATGACAGTAACTGAAACGAAAAAAGGTGGGCAGCATTTTGCTGCAATTTATCACTGAAAACAACTGAAGGGAATTTTTTTTTTTTGCCTGCTGCTGATTTGGGAAAATGCATATGTTCTGTCTTACTTTCACTGTTTGTGAAAACTGTATTTTCAAGAGTGCTTATCTGCAATTCAAGCTATCGGTTGACACTCTTGCTAGTTTCGTCAATCAACACATTAACATCAGTGATAAACATACACAATAAAAAATATCAAGGGCACACCAATTTATTGACCGAGATTTGTTTTGGGCCCCAGTGACCTAGTTCAAGCACTATATTATTTTGCCCCAGTGACCTAGTTCAAATTTTATATTATTTTGCTCCTAATAGATGCAGGCCCAACCTTCTAAAAAAATAGATGCGGGCCCCCATTAAGGAAAGCCCCGATGAAAGGATGGTTGGGCCGTGGGTGCAACGAGGAAAATGCATTTTAAAATCTAGTTTTGTTTTCCAATTCAAAATGAAGAAGGCCGAGAAGGATCCTTTCCTATTTTGATAGCTGTTCTTTTGGCTTTCTCCCTTTATAATTATAAATTCCAATTTGGCCTGGGAAAGTGCTTGCAACAGAAAGGAGGGGTCCATGTTGCTGCTATTTCCACCCCTTAGCCAGTGTGGTTTGCATACATGTATGGAATCTTGGCAGTGACCTGATGAGTTAATAGAAAAGTTTTGGCCTGCTATTTTGTGTGAAAAAAACTGGCTGGCTATGCATGGTGCAATAATCTGTGTTATTGTAGCAAGGGTAGCTTATTAGTGGATCTGTCTCAGTTTATCGATTTTTTGGATTTGTTAGGAGGGCTGTAGGGGATGATTACTGTTTCTCGGATGCTCTTTGTGCCTTTGTTGACCACCTTGGTACCTGATGAATGAAATTTACCTTATCAAAAAAAAGAAGAGCCAAATCCAAATAGAATTGAGCCAAACTGCAAACAATTAATCCCCTTGCTACTCCTAGTTGACAGTAGTGTTAAATCAGCTAGGCCTAATTTGATATTCTGATCATGGAAGGGGTGGAATTGTGGCAAACATGGTTACTGCTCAAGTTTTGAGAAGTCAAGTAATAGATGCTAGTTTTGGTATCAAATTTAGTTTTCCTTAAATTTGGGTAGTATAGGCCATTAAAATGTCACTTTTTCTATGTATTTGATTGGTTATCCTTGAACAAGGAGATATTTGGTCAGAAACTCCCCTTTTTCTGTCTCTTCTTGGCTTAGCCTCTCCACTTAAGTTCCTGAGCTTCTGACTTGACTGTCAGTTCGCCGGAAAAGTAGATCACAATCTATCTTATTCCTTGAAGTTTATTTCTTCAGTCTCAGTTGCCTCTTTTTCTGCATAAATTACGAACTTCCTGTGAGTTTGGCTTTGATTATTTAATTTTTAGCGCATAACTGAACTGTTTCCTTGCCTAACTAATTTGTATTGCAGAACTAATGCATTATTATCGACTATTAAGGGTCTAAAACTAACTGTATTTGGTTATCCTCATTGTCTTCATAATCTTCTATGTTGATCTTTTTGTGTTCCAGAAACATCACCTTCATCTTTGAGCTGGAGATCCATCATGAAAGTGATTAGAAAACTGGAGCATTGTTAACTGCTGCATTCGATACTTGCTTCTAGATAAAATCTGCCTATTTGATTTTGCATGATTGCCCATATTGATGATCAATGAATTGATGTCAAGTGTTAACTCCCTTGTTCAGGTGCGCCGCGTCCAGAGCTTGGTAGAGACAATGGATGCAGTTAAGGCAAGAAATGCCAATCCCTTTAGCAACAACAGTAATGCCGTGTCAGTGACTACTCAATGGGAGACATTTGAGTCTGGGGTTGGAAGCCTGAATGCCCCGCCACCTCCTAGACCGTCTTCTACTGTAGTGATTGAGGACTGGGAACAATTCGAATAGTCGTAGATGTTTCCAGTTTATTATTTAAAAAGTCGAAATATGCCAGTTATTAGGCACTGCATACCACTATTATTTTGTCACCTTCATTCTATTGTTACAGTTCTAAATTTTTGTTGACTGTAAACTGATGACCAGGAAAACATAGAGGTTTAATGAAATGGTGATGGTTAATTACTCGTGTGTTAAGATTTAATAAAATTTAGTGCACAATTCATTTACTCGTCCGTCTTGGTTGACAAGTTAAGTTGGTGTTGTTTCTTGTGGAGAAGTTTGAACCAAAGCCAAGCAAGTTTTTGGAAATAATATCTCCATCATCCTAAAGGTTATCTCCAATGAGGGGATGATAATCTAGAGGTGTCAAATTGACAGGTTGAAACAATTTTAAACATGTAAAATTATCGGAGTCAATTTTGACCCGACCCATCCAAGTTTGCTTGGGTCACCACACATCTCCTTGTGGATGCTGGTTGTTCTGTATAGTTTTCAAATATTTTCTTTTTGTTCAGAACTTACAATTATTTTGGATTGAAGTTATAAATATTATATCGGAAACAGCCTCTCTATGTCTCCACGTAAGGGTACGGTCTGTGTACATACTACCCTTCCCAAACCGCACTTGTGGGATTATACCGGGTATGTTGTTGTTGAAGTTATAAATATTATGTTTCTAGATTGAGATTATTTAATCTTAATTGAGATAGGTTCTAAAACATCAAGCGCCTTGAGAATGAGGCTTATAATACAGTTTCATAGGCCAACAAAGCTTCTTCTCATGTTCTATAACTAGAGGATCGGACTTCTTTGACCTTTTCTTGTTAATATTTTTTTTTCTTTCTTATTCCTTTTGGACTCTTGTTTCTTTTCTTTTTCGAAAGCTAAGGAATAGTACTTAGGTAGGAATATACTGTTGGGTCCTTGCTCATCTTCCTAAGCTAGAACTGATATTTATACATGTCGCTATTGTTTACATGCAATTTTGAGGTTCTAGTGATTTGTTTAAAACTGAACTTAAAGTCAATTTCCAAATTCTGACGAATTTAATTTACTAGGAAGTTAACTGTGTGCACGGCTTTATCTGGCCCAAGTGACATTGACCTTTTTTGGTTTTGCCTGTTCACTTGTTGGAATCATTTTCACGTTTTAGTATATATGGTCCATTAATCTCTACGAAAAATTATCTCCAGTCCAGATTAGACGCGTGCCATTGCATTATTCCTCTAACGGACCAAGCTGATAGAGAAGGTTGGACCAATCGAGGAAAGGCTTTTAACCAGGGACGGAGTTGGAAGTTCGGATGCGGGTTCGGCCGAACCCAGTAACTTTTGCTCATACAGTATATTTATGTTAAGAAATTTATTAAATATGTACAAATATTATATTGAGAACTCAGTTATTAGCACTTAAATTCGTCGTTCTAAAATCCAAAACTCATAAAGTTAAAATCCCGGTTCCGTTCTGCTTTCAAACGGACCGAGGTAGGGGATAGGGATGGGGGGGTGAAAATGGACAATTCAAGGTGGGGTATCACACAAGAAGTACATGCCAAGAAACTATCTTAAAATCTCACCTTCTTACAGCTCCACTGATATTCTACATCCTAATGAAAAAGAGGAATAAATATACCATAAAGTTTGTTAGCACTTAGCACTATTTTTCCTGATGTATCCTTTGAATACACCCTCGTACATGACTCCTGATGATTTTTCGCAAAAAGATGACGCGATGCTATCTGCTAAGAATCATAGTTTTGCTCTCAGTGGAGAAATTATGTTGCTGGTACTTGTCGTTCTTTTCATCCTTTTTCTTGTCACTGTGATTTTCTTACTCTGTAGGAAACGTTCAAATTATTCTTATACCTCCAAGTCTCAGAGGTCTTCACCAGACCAAAGTGCTCCATCACCTTATCCCTAAAACTCCAATGTCAAATTAATTTACGCCTTTTTATCGCGATATTGTGGAGTTTGATAGAGCAAGACATATATATATCATGAATCAGGTTCATCATATTCATTACTAGATTTGATTCTCAACAGCAACAACAACAATCCAGTATAATCCCACAAGTGAGGTCCGAAGAGGGTAATGTATATGCAAACCTTACCCCTAGCCTTAAATATTAAAGTGATTATTTCTGATAGACCCTCGACTCAACAAATTATTGAAACTTGTTAGAATGTGTTAAGGAGAGCGTCTGTTTTAATAGTAGAATTAGGATTAGCCTTGGTGGCAAATAGATATATATTTAGGATTTAAATTTGCTAGATTTGATCTTTAAATTTCATCGTATTGAACTCGCTGTACTTTTGAATAGTGAACTCAGAATTTAGTAGTAGTTGTTAAATTTTAGTGATATTCTATGTCTAGTGTCAAAAATGATGGGTTCAATTTGAATCAGTTGGTAAGAGGCTCTTGTAAATGGATGGAATTTATGAAGAAAAACAATCTTGGTGTAGATTCGCAGGATTTTAGTACGGTATAATTGGATTTTCTGTACGAGTTATTATCACTTTTAACCCGTGCCAGAAATTATTTATATCCAGGAGTCGAAAAAGTGTATAACATTTGTATATTTTTTGTATATAACATTCAGAATGTATATATATACAAAAATATATAATTTTTATATATTTTTTCGACCATTATTTTTACCGCGGCTATATTGTATCATTTTTCGTTTCTGTACTGTAGAAGGATGCATTTACTATTTCAAGGCAAGAACAATTGATTTTTCTAACTCTAGCATGAAATTAAAGTACCTTTCTATAATTTTGCTAGCCTCGTACTTTTGTTTGGTTTTGCTCTTATCTTTGTACTTTGTGCTATTTTGAGGTACCCACTAGCATATTGCTTGGGCTGCTATTGGTTGCTTCATTGGTTTTGAAGTTTTCAAATGAATTTGAGATGCTGATTTGACAAGAATCACTGTATGTAGGGGGTGGGCGTTCGATAGTTATGGATTAAATATGAAAATTTCGGTTTGGATTTTTAATTTTCGGATTGAAGAAATGACAATCCAAATCTCATCCAAATTATAAGCTCGGATTGGATTGGATTATTTAGTTCGGTTTCAGATTAATCGGTTTGGATATTTTGAATTTTCGGTTTTGAGCTTATAAGTAAAGATGTTTTTTTTTACAAAAAAAATTATCCAAATTAAGTACTCATGTTAAATTGCGTGAAAAGTTCATTCTCACTACAATCATCCAAATAAAATATTCAAGTAATGAATTATTATCAAGGAAATGTAATAGAGATAGTAATACAACCAATAAGAAGTAGAAATTGTAAAATCGTGTCCAAATAGAAATCATTCTGATAGTAACTTTGTAATTAATGTTGAATATATGAGATAATATCTAATGAGTAGGGTATTTTGAACTTATTACTATTGGCATATAGATAATGGTCTAAATATAAAGTATAAAATTTTGAATTTTCGGATATCCAAATTTTCGAAGTACCAAATCCAATATCCAATCCAAAATTCAAAATTTTTCAAAACTAAACCCAAAATCCAATCCGTAATTCGAAAATTCAAATCAAAAATCCAAAAAATTCGGATTTCGGGTTTGTCCAAACTATGCCCACCCCTAACTGTAAGGGAGATTTTATTTCAATTATGAGAATCAAATTAATTGTTGTGCGTGATAAGTTTTAATTATCGTTAACATGGGGTTCAATGTTGTAATCCTAGTTATGCTGAAATATTACTACTTAATAGCAATCAAAATCGCAGTTAAAACAGATGTGAATCAAGTATTGAAAATAAACAGCCCGGTGCACAAAGTATTTCATATTTACGTAAAGTTCGGTAAAAAGGCTGTATTCCTACGGATATGATGTAGACAGCCTACCCTAATGCAAGCATTAGTGACTGCATTCACTGTTCGAACTCGTGACCTATAGGTCATACAGAGAATTTTACGGAATAATTTTGCGTGGTCACTTTTATGAGCTTCCCAGGTCGGATAATTTGCACAAATAGAATAATTCCGTGTCATTATTGATTTTTGATCTAGCTTGTCTCATGGGCACAATTTCAAGTTTAACAAGTGTTGCCCCTCGCAAGCCCAGGACAACACTTTTTATCTTTGACCTTAAAGGTCTTCCTATTGAGCAAGTGCGGGTCAAAAAATCAAGATCATCTATTTTTAAGGTCATTTGGGCGTAATTTTCTTTTTCAGGTCGTTGCTCGAGTTATTCATGGGTCATCCATTGTCGACACTAGAGCTGCTAAAACATCCAAGCATCGCATGAATATTAATAAAGTTTAAATGAGGCTTAATTAAACTACTAAGAAACTGCCAAAAAACGTCCAGAAAAACCGACCGAAATCGGTCGGAATTCAATAAATATTGACCAATTTTCGACCATTTTCAATTAGTCAGTAAAATAATGGTCGCAAACGGGGAGCGACTACATTCGGTCGCTATTTTCCGACCTAAGTTGATCGGTAACTGTCAACGCAGTTTGACCAACTTGTCTGACACAAATTAATATTACCGACCGAATTCGATCGGTATTGTTAAAAATAATTTTTAATTATTTTTAAATTAGCGACCGAACTCGGTCGAAATTTTAACTATTAATTTTTTTTATAAAAATTATTAAATTACGACCGAAATCGGTCGGTATTGTTAAAATATGTAATTATTCATTTTTATTTAAAATTGTTAATTCTGACCAAAATCGATATTATTTAAATAATTAAAATTTAAAATCAAAATTTCTGACCGAAGTCGGTCGATAAATTTGATTTTCTGGGAAATAATATGAATATTTCCGACCGAAGTCGGTCGATTTTTTGGGTATTTTTTGGTAGTAAACAGCTGTTTTATAGCTGCACCACCTGCCAACAACCAATCACCTATAATGACAGAATTACATTGCTGCCATTAAACCAATAACAACAACAATAATAACAACACCAATAACAACTATCAAAACTATATTAACAAAATATTATCACCATCTCCATCTCCACTAAATTATACTTCCCCCGTTTCAATTTATGTGAACCTATTTTCTTTTTGGCCCGTGCCAAAAAGAATGACCCCTTTCCTTATTTGGAAACAATTTACCTTTATGCAATGATTTATAGCCACACAAAATATATGTGCCTCATTTTACACCACAAGTTCAAAAGTCTTCTCTCTCTTTTCTTAAACTCCGTGCCCAATTAAATGGGTTCACATAAATTAAAACGGAGGGAGTATTAACAAGACATCATACCTAACAACAAAACGTTTCATAAGTTAAAAGTTCAAACATAATTCAGTGAGTGTTTTATACTACATCATCTTCATCTCCACTACTCTAGCATTCATCGTCGACATGGTTCGAAGGATTAGCATCTGGGAAGGCTCACGAGACCCGGTAATCGAGAAAGCACTACTAGTAAGAAGATTGGCTAGCTGAACTTGAAGGATATTAAATTGTTGGACCTCTTTTCTAGTTGAACTTGAAGGGTATCTAATTGCTTATCTCTCTTTTGTTCTCTAGTCTTTGTTTCTTCAAGCTCTGCTGTCAGCTTTGCGATCTCCTTCTCCATAGAAAAGAGAGTCGACCTATCAATTGCCTCGCCTCGGGTGAAAGTCCCTATACCTTGCAATCCATCCCTGTAACGCCGAAATGATCTCTATGGAAGGCTGTATGCTATCCCCTTTTAGGACCACCAACAACATCCAACCATATCTTCTGCGGATCTTCGTCTGAAATAGATGGTCGCTCTCCTTGCTCATTCGGTGGCAAGCTCTGAGTGTACTCCTCCACATTAGCCTTGTAGTGACCCTTTATTTAGAAGATAAAAAATTACTAACTATATAATATTATAAACATTAATTTCAAGTTATAGTAGTTATGAAACTTACATATGCAGTCTCCGCCCGATCTTCGACCCACTTAGATGGACCTGTCGGTGCCTTCTTCTTTTGGATATGAGTCTCCATAAAGAACTCATCATGAGTCATCTTCCTCCCATATTTTTTCCCTACAAATATAATAAAACGTGTTAACTAAATTAAATATATAAATATAGTTCGATAAAAATAGATGTAAATATTTTAAGGAATTACCAGTAGTCTCCTCGTAGTCCCATGCTCCTTGCACCCACACAGTGCAAGGAGCCACCCTTCTCAAATGCTTGGGCCTTCTTTTCTTGTTCACTCCTCTTCTCGAATTTCTCGGTGGTCCACTGCCTCAACAGATCCTCCCATAAATCCGGTAGAACCCATGAAGGCTTCTTGCTATTCTTTCGAGCAAAGCAGAAGTAATCAGATAGTCTCTTACGACATTTGAACACAAAATTTGCAAGAATTTCACTGTTATGCGGTCCTCCCAGGCACACTTAGTCTGCAAATGAAGTATGTAACGTTAGATGAAAATATTGTTAATATAATGCTTAAATATATAAGAATTGTATTAAAACCTTAAATTGGTTGAAAATTTACTGCACGAGCTCCAGTGGAAAGTCACTCCAAGTCGCATAGGGTGCATTATACAACCGGCCAAGAGCTTCAGTGATTATCTTTGTAGTCCGATAATTAGGTATGAACCTTCAATATAACAATTACATTAAATAAACAAGAGTAGCTATTATAATTCAGAATAATAAAGAAGTAATAAATAAATCTTACCCATTGCCCTCAGGCCTGATGATCATCCTATGATAACAATCATACCGCACTTCCTCTGGATCATTATCCTCCGATGAAACTGCAGCGTGCGGAGAAGGGGGGGGGGGCATCTGGCTCAGTTCTACTATCTTGAAGGCAAAGTTTAGAAATTTTAGGAGATGAACTCTATGGAGAGGGAGACGGGGCCACTGATGAAGATGGCTGCGATCCATACCCTTGCTGCGATCTAGACCCCTGTTGCGACAAGAGCACTGCTGCGATCCGGCTGGCTGAAATCTAAATGGATGCGATCTAGCTGGTGATGAAACAAATGGAGCAGATGGCGGGCATATCACCACATGACCCTGTGACTGCTGACTCGATGGACCCATATAACCATATGCAGGATCATATGGAGGAAGGAGAGTATAGCCCTGTGGTGCAGAATGGTAAGAATACTGCCGGGAGGGTGAATGGTAGGTAGTCTGATGAGTAGATGGAAAAGATGTGTGCCTAGAAGATTGTTGCCAGCCATCAGCAGCAGAGGGATGCAAGTGTGGAGTGGAAGGAAGCGAGGGTGTATCACCATCATCATAATCAATAAGCCTCTTATCTTTCCTAGACCTACCTCAACCCCTATCGGTCATCTGCATAAATTAAAGAAAGTGTTAGAATTGAGAATATAAATCTATATAAGTTGAGAGCTCTTGAAAAAACTAACATTCTAGTCATCTTCGAAGTATCCTTCCTAGTCCGGAAATTCTTCCTCTTCACTTATTTCATTTCATTAGGTGATTCTTCGTCCTCATTTTCTATGATTATTATTTCCTCCATATCAACTTCTTCTAATATGTGTTGAGGATGCTCCAAGTCATTTTCTTGCTGATCATCCACCATTTGGTTAACACGTGAGGTATCATTTTGGTAAGCAACATATAGCACATTCTAAACTTCCACCCTACTAACACGCTTAGTTTTGATTACGACCAACCAATCAGCCTTATCCCTCCGCAATAGATATGGAGCATAATACACTTCCTAACTTTTTCTGCAATTATAAAAGGATCATAGCGATCATACTTCCTCTTTTTATTAACCTCAATTATGTTGTACTTCAATTGTACATTTGTACCTTTTCTAGGTGTTGGATCAAACCACTTACATCGGAAAAGTATGATCTTCTTATTTGGCCAACCTGAATATGATAATTCTAGTATCTCTTTGATCACACCATAATAATCATTTTCCCCATCTTGGTTGCCTTCACCACCTTTGACACACACCCCACTGTTATTGCTTTTTTTTAATACTTGGAGCATTCCTTGGTGTGAAATTTATAACCATTTACAACATACTTAGACATAGTTGTAACCATCGGTGCAAGTACCCAAGATATATCTTTCAAAAATTGATTAACACTGTTGTTTGGATTATTAACCTA